GGATTTTAGAGTGTAAACTGCACCAAGTTATGTTATATCGTATAACATAAGTTGAAATAAGCTTCATTCCTTAAATGTACTAAAATAAAGCATAAGAAATAAATATGGACTATAAAGATTCCGTCAACCACTCTACCCGTAAATAAAACCCTTCACATACCTGTGCCCCAAACACCATACCTAATACCACTAAAAAATTTTCCTTATCAATAATCTGTACATGTACATGAATATGACACAGGTTTAAATGACAAAATAAACCGTCAACTATAAAATTTAGTGCTTCTTGCAATAGTTCATTGGATAATAGTTTATAGTTTTTATGAGAATTTCAAATGTATGTCCCTCAGATCATAAAATAGGTGGTGCCAATGTCCAGGACTTTCAATGGTTTCTTAGCCTAGCTTAAAGGGGCTATTTTGTAGTTATTAGCGATAGTTATTTTGCGCATTGCATAATTTGAAGTGGCGAGACTAAATCATGAAAAGGTGAACAATCGTACCTTGTCTTTTTTTTTTTGAAAAACTTGCATGCAAAGTGGCATCATGGTAACAAGATTAATTTAATGAAAATAACATATATTTTTAAAGTTATTTTGTGGGTATACATGTACATGTAGCGGATAAAAAAGTTGTCCTCAACACGTGTATAAGAATCGCAGTTTTTGAGGCTTTGCTGTAATGAAACAAATGGAGATACATGCAACGAACAGTATTCCAGATCAAAGGTCCATAAAACAATACAAAATAGGAGCAGAGCAAACACGGACCTCCGAAACATCAGAGGTGGGATGAGGTGCCATGGAGGAGTGAGCATTCCCTGCCGACCGGTCAGACCCGCCGTGTGCTCCTTGTCATGTTCGGGAAATAACGGAAAAATCCGTCGTCAATTCAGTGTATAAATAATGGACTAACAATAAGTAAGAGAAATGTCAGTCAGCATTTGACTCAATGATAAATTGTATTTGCTGATAAGGTCATTGTATCGACCATAGAATTTACGAAATAATGACTTTAAATGAGACAGCTGAAATTCATGTTTCATCAACTTGTTTGTAAATAATTTACCCTTTTTTTAAAATTGTTCATACGTAGAGCATGCTCTTGCGTATCGAATCAACTGAGATATATAAACTCCTTCATATATGCAGGTGATGAAGGAATATTGCTGCATAGGTAAGGGAAGTTGACGATAGAAAAGTTAAAGTTATCATAGAACTTGGCTGTTAGATTACTATTTACGTCTTTTTCAAGTAAAATATCCAAATATGTAACAGACTTGTCAGACTCTGTGGTAAATTTTATCTCAAGCTCACAAGGATATATCTTTTTGACATAAGAATGGAAATTACCATTGTTAATTGACAGTATATCGTAGATATATATAAATGTCGAGTTGAAGGCCACAGCAAGTGTTTTCTTCTTTTCATGCATAAGAATTTGCACAAATTCTGCTTCGTAGGAATACAAAAATAGGTCTGCTAATAGCTGGGCGCAATTGGTACCCATGGGAATTCCAATAGATTGTTGGGAGACCTGACCTCCAAAAAGGACATAGATATTGTCAATCAGAAACTCTAACTCTTTTTGATTTCAATTTAGTTGTATCTAAATATCTCTTGATAAGAACATGAAACAGGTGATGCATAAGGAAGCTAGGTTTTAATTTTTTCCTAAACTTTATATTAATTTTAATTTTCTGACATGGGAGGAGATGCAGATAAAACATTGGTACTCCGAAGTGTTACGGGTATAAATAGGTAGATGAAAGACTCTTGGTTTAGGGATGTTCCTTCCCTTCTATGGTCTTAATCCTATTTAAGTTTGTTCTTGTGAAATACTTTATTGCTACGCGTCATCTTCATATCTAAAAATTCACATATTAATATTATTTCCAAATATTATTCCTTTAGATTCTTTGCAAATAAAAAAAAATGTTCACATACTCATAAACTACATTATGATCAGTAAGAATATTTTCATTGATGTAATCAAAGTCAATTCAAAAAAAAAAATTATCGCTGAATGAAAAAGAAAAACGCGTGGTAATGGATGAGAAAAATGATGGCCATATATGAAATAAATTAACTTTTGCCAAAAGTATGATTCAGAAGCACGTGCATAGGAACTACAACGCTTAACGCCTGCATATTTGTCATGAAATCGAAGAGCTAACGTATGCCGGAGTGAAACGTCGTCGTTCACGTCCTCACGAATTCTCAAAAATTAAATTAATTTCCCAAATCTATTCTTCAAAGGTATTAAATCAATTATGAAACCAAAATAACTTTCAACTTACCATATGCCCTTATTTTAAAAATATGACATGAAAAGAGCCAGAAATATATGACAAAATTCTTCATACTGCCACTGTTCTTTTGACGGAAAAATAAGGTAGTGTTGATTGACTCTTTTTTAAGACTGAACCAGGAAGATTTCAATTGCCATTTAAAACATTGCACTGTTTTTCAAAGAATGTTTGTATGAACTATTCCTTTACTAGAGAGTATACATATTTGTTTAGTAAAGGACATAGAAGATATAAAACTCCGGTGGGCAATATAAAATAAAATAGAAAAAAAGGAGCTCAAGAAAATTGTTGAATTCCATGCAACAAGAACCAGTGATATACGATAAAACCAATAAAACACTCCTGTAGCAGGAGAAGTTTTATTTATTCAATGTTTTTTTGTTGTTGAAAATATAAAGTATGCATGCACACGGTTTCATCAGTGTTTATACATGTACATCTCTATAGAAAATTATTCAAGGCTATAGATAGCTTGCTTTAGTTCCCGTGTCATATTTTTACACTTAATGAAGTCTGACCCACGGATCCTTTAAAGTGTTTTGTGGACAAAATAGACGATTTTTTTTATTGATTTCCTAAAATTAAAAAAAAATCACCCTTACAAAATTTTCAAGGGACAGATATTGCAATTTTTTTACTGACTGGTTACAATTATTCTATATTTGTACTTCTAAATAAATATGGAGAAGTCATAATTTTGTCTTTCAAAAAATTCGTAATCAAATCAGGACATTTTACTTTTCAATTGTGGTAAATTAAATCTGCAAAACATGTCAAGCTACTAAATGCAATTTAAATGGTTAATTTTAGACCGATAAGTTTGCTTGAACAGTCAAACGCGTTAGTAATCATTATACTGAGTTTGTAAACATATGCGAGGTTCATGCTACAATAATCAATATACATAACTGTATCTTAATCAAAGATGGGTCTTCTAAGTGGAATCTTAATGAAATCAAACCGCATTTATAGAGGGAATTGTCTTTTAACTTGGTAATTTTAATGTTAAACAAAAACTGGTCCAGCATTGTGAGAACAGACCGTATACATGTAATCATTATTTCATAAAAAAAGAATAAAATTAGGGATTCTATAATATTTCACAACAACTTGATAAAATGTTCTGTTAAAACTAGTGAAACTTTGTCGAACTTAAAATAAAGATGAATAAAACATGTTTTTAGTATTATACTTTCCATGGATTTATATTATTTTTCCTTTCTTTGTCAAGATGTCGATTATGCCCAATTAAAATAAAATGAAAACATATATTTTCTTTATAAATATAAACCTTAAGAACAGAAAATTGACGAATACTTAAAGAAGTTATTCAGTCTTGAATCATCACATTTTAAATTATTTACATTGAGATCGTTTCTAAATACAGACTAGGAAGTATAAATGGCGTTTTTTATTCTAATGTGTTAAAAATGTACCTTTAGGTTTCAACCAAGCTCTTTTAAAATTTAAACGACTTCGTTTATCTCGTAGTGTGTTCATAATGTGCATTTAAAAGATTATATTATATGATATTTCACCTTTTTTGCCTTGTATATAGATCTTGTTATTTTTTTGTGTTTTATAAACCTCATAAATGGTTTTTAGATCATATGTAAAATTATTGTAGAAATAAAGTTCCTCGATTTATATCAATCACAAAAATCTTTAACCTTATGTTTTCTTAAAATGATAGTTAATTTGCATGAAATGGAAGCAAAGCATAGAAATGTGTAAAAACACATTTACACTATGATATAAACGCGGTCGGTTAAAGTTTTGATAAGAAGAAATAGTATCTTAAATTTTGTTTCTGATTAGTACTCAAAGAACGGTCTTTTCATCAGAAATACATGGTGAAATGGTCTTTGACTCTTTTCATCAGAAATACACGGTGAGATAGGGAAGTCATAGTGCATAACCCTTTGAAAGTTTTTTTTTATGAGAAACAGACAGAACAGACATTAAACTACATGTTTCCTCCCCTACCTCCGAGATCAATTTATTTTCTTGTATGTATGCTTAAAATTACATGTACATACAGGCCCCTACATCAGTGGTGTCACATCCAGGTAAACAATATTTAACAAAACTATTTTATGTTTGTGTTGGTAATGGCAAGAATTCATTTTTTTTAGCTTGGAATTCATCTTTCAATCAACACTTCATTTATGACACTGCTCAAACACAAAGAAGTTCTCAATCTCCTTTTTAATATTTTTAATATCTATATATATTGGTTGAGCTCCAAACCTACAGAATCTGTCTCCTAGCAGTACAGGGACAACGCGCTAGACCGCTCGACTATCTAGGCAAGTAAAAAAAAAATTGCTTTCGATGCCGATGGAATTCTCGCGGCGCTGCCCCACACAACACGGTCATTGAGAATAGAAGTGAGAAACAGTTATTTGGACATTAGTTTTATCAGAGGATTGTTACCAATACACGTTGTAATGAAATTTATTTTTAATTATAGAGCACTTTTTTCAACAAATCTTAATATCTTCTTTTGAGTTCAGATGGCGATAACAAGAGAACTTTACAGTGATCAAGCTGTTGAAAAATTCTTAAACCTTTTCTCTTACTAAGAATATGTCAACAGAAATAAATTGCTTTGACTCGTAATGTCAGGTCTTCTACAAATCTTGAAAACTATTACAATGCATAAAAAATTATTTTAAAAAGCAACTTACGGAATGCCTTTATTCCACACACATTACACGAAAAGAGACATAAAAATATCAAGGAACTCTTCATGTTGCTCGCTAAACCCGATCCATCTCTAAGGTAGAATTAAAGAAATAAGGGGTTGTTTACTTTACAAAGGTACGAACCAGGAAGGTTAAAAATATTATATATATTTTTTACACCAAGTCAAAAATAGTTTTCAAAATGTTGTCTCTGTTAAAGAAATTGTATAATTCTGTCATTAAATGTACATGTATACTGTTGCGTATATTATGGAAATCAAGTAATTTAATAAAATGGAGGACATGAAATAAAACTGTAGGTACTAAAAAAAATAGAAACCTGAGATTTTGTGAAGGGAAGGTTTCAACTCAAAAAGTAATGTATAAAGAAACCATTAAATGCTTCAATTGGAAGAGAATATGTTGTTAAATTATATATATATTATCAATTTTGCGACCCCCCCCCCAAAAAAAAAAATCGTGTGCACTTTTTTGAAAATTTAATTCATTAATAATTATCCTTGTACAGCTGATGGAATATCTCTTGATGTTCATTCAGTTTTTAAATGTTGTTTGTAATTTGATTAAAATTTGTTTACATTTTACAGTGCCTTTTTCTTTCTTAATACGCGCTGGGATTGAATAATGCTTTGTTTTTAAAAGATAATATAACATGTTCAATTCTTCAAGTTTGTCATTGCAGTAAAAACACATCAGTATACATGTAGGTATATCCTATGCGATAACACAGTTTCATGATATTGCGTTGAGGGGTTAAAATAATTGCAATGACAAACTGTTGTAACAGTTTATTTAAGTTTGGCTAGAGAAAAGGCGGTAATTATACACCTGCTCAATAAATATCAGAGTCAGTATCATTACAGGATATTCTGTTTAAGTTTTAAAAGAAAATGCTACTCGCGTTGTCTATTAAAGGCTTTTAAATCCCCGCCCAAGAAATGTGTATTTTTTTTTATTAGAATAATGATTATGTACACGATAAGTAACATGTTTTTCACTAAACTTTAATGATAAGCATAGACAATGATTTTTCTTCTCTAAAAAAAAGATCGTACAATTGTTCGATTCGTTTTTTGAAGAACATTTTCTTTAAAGTCAAATCTTAATAAATTTGAAACATGAAAACATTTTTAAAGCGCAGATCAGGAAGTGAAAATGGCGTTAACAGTTTAACATTTTATACGTTTACTGATGAATGCACAGTAGATTACAATCGAATTCCTTAAATATTTTAAAGTCAGGACACTTAAGTCTAAGTATATCTATGTCATTGTGTATTTTTTATCCTCCGCTGTTACTGAAAGTGGGTGATTTTAATTTCGGTCTGTGCGTCTTCTTTATGAATGTGTAACAGATGAAAATGTACCATCAGACGTGTTGACAATTACTTTTAATATTTTCAATTTAAAATTTTCCCATCTGTTTTTAATTTAATCAATTGCCATATTCTTCAACCTCAGATTTATCTATTTTGAAATGTTTAATTATCTTTATTAGCCATGAGTGATAACCCCAGATATGACCGTCGGATTACTGGGTTGTCGGACTATCGGACCGTCGGACTACGGGGTTGTCGGACTATCGGACCGTCGGAATACTAGGCTTGAACCTGTGGACCCAACGAGAAATAAAGATCTGCAAATTGAAAGGCGGCTTTATCTTCATTTACCAATGGTCAATCCTACAGTGGCTTTGCGAGGTTGTGATAAATGGCATACATTGTACTTTCGTTTTCGCACGATATCTCGACAAGCCTTTCAGTTTTCGTAATAAAATTTTACAAGCAACTCCTTATTGCCCGAAGAAGACCGTTATTGATTTTTAGTCAACATATCAAATAAAAAAATCCTCCTTGTTTGAACACTTTCGTTTCCGCGCGATATCAGCTTTTTGGGATGAAATTTTCTACTACGACTCCCGATATATGCCTAAGCAAGACTCCTAATGATTGTGAGGTAAACGGTTGTAAATTCATACACACTGTATGTGTGTAAAAATTTCATTTCCGGGCCATATCTCAAAAAGTTTTTGCAATGAAATTTTATACCATAACTCCCTATGGCTCCTCATACCCGTCCTAAAATGCCCTAGTTGACTCATAGATTCGTACCAGCTATTTTTTCCTTAAGCGGTGGACACAAATTAATGAATTTGATTATATCATTTACTCTAGTCATGCGTTATAATGCTACAAGATGCAATAAAACGCATATAGTAGATACATTGACCTATCATTAAAAACACCTAAAATATCAGCCGACATATTAAAGGACGCATCAGTGAATCGTAACTTCCTATTATCATCCAATGAAGTCTATTACTTTTTTTAATTGGATTAAATTATAGGTAAGTCATTTTTTTAAATAATACTTTATAAAACCTACAGTAATAGAGTGTACTACTTCTCCTTAGGAACATGCAATGTCCATCTTTTGCTTTTAAGTTAAAACGAAGTCTACAAAGAGGGCTCATCAAAAAGTTCCTAGACTAACGCCATTAAAAGAAAACCGAAACTTACATATATAGCACCATTTTTTATTATATCTGTCAATAAATTAAGAATCCTAAGTTTTATTTCACTATAAATAGTTTATGTCTTTTTCTAATTAATTGTTCAAATTGTTATAAGCAACGACATATTCAGGTGGTGCATCCTAAAACATGATATATTTTCTGAGTAAGTTAAAAAAGAAATAAAGTATCGAAACTGCATTATTTTCATTTCGACGTTCTGATTCCTTTAGTAAAAAAAAGGGGGGGGGTACACGTAATAAAGAAATTTCATTAATTTTTACGTGTAATTTAGGATAGATGACAAGGATCACGCAACGGGTGTGACCTGTCGGCAAGGGATGCTCATTCCTTCATTGCATCTTATGCCATGCACCTTTGGTGCTTTAGAGATCCGTCTTTGCTCTGCTTCTGATTTTTAATGGACTTTTGAATTAGAATACTGTTCGTTACATTTATTTATGTAATAATTAAAAAAATAAAATGGATGCTTAGATTCATATATGTACAAATGTATATTTCGGTTGTTTAGCTAATGATTACTAAAATGATATTCTATAATATTAATAAATAACTATTTTACACTCTTTCGGATGTTTGAGATTATCCGTCAATCTCGAAATATGGAAAAGATTTTAAAATTGTAGAAAAAATTTAAGAGCATTAGTCCATTTTTTTCAAAAAGTTTTAATTTCCAGCAAAATTTCCAGTATATGTAACCCGACCCTATATATATATATAACCTCTTTTCAAGGGAGTCAGATCCTTACATTCTGAAAATCAACCACAGGATGAAAAGCCAGGTTTCCCAAATTTGGAAACCCGATGGAAACATATGGGAATCGCGACATCAGTAGTTTCCATATAGTTTCCATTTTATGGAAACCACATAGTGGTTTCCACATAGATTCCCGACATGGAAACAATCAATCTGTGGTTTCCCGTAAGTTTCCCAAGATAGGAAACCATGGAAACATACCCCGGTGGTTTCCACATAGATTCCCGACATGGAAACAATCAACCTGTGGTTTCCCGTAAGTTTTCCAAGATAGGAAACCATGGAAACATACCCCGGTGGTTTCCACATAGATTCCCGACATGGAAACAATCAACCTGTGGTTTCCCGGAAGTTTCCCAAGATAGGAAACCATGGAAACATGCCCCGGTGGTTTCCATATAGATTCCCGATATGGAAGCCACCAATGTGTAGTTTTCCCCATGTTTCCCAGGCAGGGAAACTTTGAAAGTATATCTCAATACTAACCAACCTACCTTTTATTTTACAAAAAGTCAAATATTTAATTATGTTACCATATTTTTACCAATTATAGAAATATTTCAAAAGTGTTTACATGCTGTATCAAATAATTAACTTCAAACAGTTAAAATAACTAGATGTGTATATCTGTGTGGTTAATTTAATATTTCAGCACCATGAACGCATTCAATTTTAATTTAATTTTATTTAACTGAATTTTATTTAATTTAATTTAATTTTGAATTTGATTTATCACATAAGTTTTTGTAAACTCGTATAGAATGCGTGAAGTGGAATAGGAAAAAGTAAGTGCATGCAGTTATGTAGAAATCAATCATTTCCGATCCCACTTTCTTGAAGCTGTCTATGATGAATGTTCCTTTGAAAAAAATGGAAGAGCTAAGGAAGGGTACATTTAATGAAATTATTTACAGAAAAGGTTTACTAAAAAGATCGATTAAAAAGTAAATAAAGAAATATGTCAAGTTACGATTACTGATTAAGGACAGGTGAGACGTTCCTCAATAAAATAATTAATTTTTTTTCCCAATATTTTGCAATTGACATTGAAGAATTATTTTTACATAATTACATGTATTCACAAGACATCAAGGTACCTTACCAGGCATTTGTGTTAGATACCAGAGGTTGGCATTTCTTATATACCGGGGTAATTGGTCAGGAAAAAAATACTTCAATTGGTTTGTCAAAATTACATTTTTATTGTTTCAAGTTTTTAAATACGAGTTTAGAAATTGATAAAGATTTTGTTTTAATATGAATTAATATATTAATATAAACTGGTCAGATAAGAATCATTCATCGAATTGGCTTGGGGCTGAGTATTATCATACTAGTATTTTACTATTAATAGTGAATATTATCTTTTTTAATTTATTAAATCATTGTTTTTATTATTGGGGTGGGTGGGTTGCTTTTTTTTTCTTGAGAAGCCCCCCCCCCCCCCCCCCCCCCCCCAAAAAAAAACGCTTTTGAAAAAGTCACTATGATCGGCCTGTGTAATTAGGGACACCTGTCCTCACGTGCCATATCAGGTGGAGACACGTGCCGCGAAGACACCTGTCACTGTGTATTTTTTGTATATTCTATGTGAATTGAGACGGTTTTGTACCTAAAGGGAACAATGGGCTGTTGTCGAGCATGTACACACACAGTCTCCGACCGAAAATTCTTTTGAATTAAGATGATGATTCGTGTTTCTTTTATCATTTAAAAAATAATTGTATATTTCAAAAATAAAGTTATACAAGAGAACATATTTATAAAATAACCTACATTTAAGAAGTTCAATGAAAGAACAAACTATTTAGAATTTTTATTTCAATTTTCATTACTGATTTAAAATAAAGCTCTCCTCTTTAGAAATTAAATAATTTTCTATAGGTATTGAATATATCTTAATTCTCGTCGTGTATAATTATATTAAATCAGAATGACGTTAATAGATCAATGTGAAATCAAAACTGTATTTAATATTGTTGATGGGTTTTTGTGTGAAATTTGTAATCTAACGTACTATAAAGACATTTATGAGATAAATGTTTATAATATAATTCATCACATAAAACGTTTTTCCCCCTTTTTTGTTTAAATATGTACGCAGATCCCCGTGTAGTAAACGCCTGCACTTTTCGCATGAAATTACAATGTAGGGTCCTAAATGCACATACATTATATTTAACAAACTAAAAAATGTTCAGCCATTTTTTTTTTCTCCAAAGGCCATTGCTCTAGATAAAGAAAATTCTATAATATTTTGCATGATTTTGTTTTCCTTAAGAACAATGGCTTTTAAAGTAGTGCATGCTAAGGCGATCTATTAAAAGAATTAATTGTATAATATATTCATTGTATAATTGTCACGATTGTATTTTTGTGCAGTTTTTGTTGATTTCATTCTATAAAGGTATGAAGTTTGTCAATACTTCAACAAACATTTCTTTATCTATGGTGTACACTACTTTATTTTTATTCGCCGACATGCTACTCGTTTTATAAAAAAAACTTGCGTGACTAATAGACTCGATCTTCAGGCCTGTAGGAAAGTAATTTCCGAAAGAGTAATAAACTAAACTAAACAGGGATTTTATTTTTACTAGCATACATGTACCTTACCAGATTTCTTAACGAAAAAAAAAACATTAAAAGAAATACAGGGCGGGACCAGCTAAAGCTGTATGCATAAGTACAGCCCTGCACATCAACGAGTATAGATGAATTTCGACATCTTTCCCATGACTTCACTTATACCAATCACGACTAAAATATTGAATTAAAATACTGTTATATTTCCTGCCTTTGATGAGATGTTAGTTTTGTTCCACCTAGAGATATAACTCTCCTAAGAAAAAGGTTTTCAACATTCTGATTCATTTAACAATTTTACGTGTTAAAATGATGTGGGAATTTTTTTTAGCTAAAGGCCAATTAAGGAGTTTAAACATGTTAAAGTACAATGTATATGTAGCAATTAGAGAAAAGTCTAGCAGGTCCACCAGTAATATTGATAGCAGGCTCAAAATCTAATTAAACCCCGAAAAGGAGGGAGTTCGATTAGTAATTTAATCCCCCCCAAAAAAACACAACAATTTATTAGCAATGAATTAAACACCGAACTTTTCAATCATCACTATTTAAATAAAAAACTGTTCTTGATAATCATATTATAATTGTAGCTTATTTTCATGCCTTTTAGGATTCCTGTGGAAAGTTCACCAAAAAAAAAAAAAAAAAAAAAAAATGTGCTTTTAAAAATTTAACATCTTTTGGTGTGACATTATAAATTCATAATCATACATGTAACAGTTAAAAGAAGCGGGGAGAGGTGTGTGTGTGTGTGTGGGGGGGGGGTACTTTCAGCAAGGACGGCCACTACCAACAACCAAGCCCCGAAACCCATATCCCGAAGGCAAATAAGTTGAGGTGTCAAGCAAGAAACAATTTTTTTTTCTGCTCTTGCCTCATGTATTTAACCGCTTTTTTCTAAATATACTAGGTCTACACATCATATCGGCAAAAATATTTAGGAGCCCCTCTTTTTATTCCATGAAAAGGGGAAAACTTAATTAAATTCTAATATAAAATTTCATAATCACACTTAATCATAGTGAATGTAAACAGATTATATTTCCCATCCTGCATCGCTCTGTAGGCGCTTTATTTCATTGGTCAATTTACCGAGGCGCCATTTTTGGAGGATCGAGAAGGACGAAGAAGAAGGTGTAAGCAGCTGATAAATGTGAAAAGTTAACATGGTTTCACCACCCAGTGTCTTTAAGACTGTGATAAATGCAATGGCCAACGATGAAGGATTAGTGTACGTATATTTTTGTTAACTTTTTACGGTAAATAGTTGTAATATTTGGCAACAACAAATCTTCACTATCGAAGGGAACTTTTGTTCTGACGCCATTTTGAAAAGTTGGATACCTAAGTTTTAAATTGTTAAGTGTATATATTGCAGAAAGAAAGAGAGAGAGAAAGAGAGGGAAATTTGAGACGTTGATATAGCATAACTTATATTATGAAGGCACCGTGCATGTGCATGCTGTATGTTGTAAAATTTCAACGTTTCGCCTTTTATCATGTTTATTAAAATGTATGCTCCATGTGTATGTTCTCTCTCTATATATAAATGAATACTTTTCGGAATTTAAAAAAAAATATTTTAAACCCCGCTCAAATTATCCGGATGATAATAGTTACACCGAACGTGGTTTCGTAATTAAATTCAGACTGTAGAACATCCGGTTTGAATACCACATGTGTTTTCTGACTTTTGGGAGCCAACTCTTGTTTTTTATGGAACTTACGACTTATGGCAAGGTATAAATTAAATATTTTTGGTTCAAAACTTTGATAAGAACATCGATATTTTCACAAAAAGTGTCTTCAATCTCAGCTTATCCGATTATTCATGAAGGATATCCTCATCAGAACAGATTGTAGCGAATAGCATAACCCTTAATCATATGCATGACGATGATATGGAGGGAAAATATACATAAAAAAGTGAATGTAGGTGAAAGCCTGTCCTCTTTTCTGAAGAGATTAAGTTTGTTTTATTGTTTATTGAAATAGTTTACTGCTCAAAAGATTTTTTTTTGTAATGTCTAACCTGTTGAGATGAAGATGTAAAAAAAGAAAATCCTAATAGTGAATTAATATTGATAGTATGTCATGAAATGCAAATGAATCATCAACTTGAATTATCAGTTTTTTCACAATTATTGACCTGAGTAGGTCAATGTATAGCGAATAATACATACTCCTTTCCATATCGCATCCTAGCTCGAGACACCAATTTCAGCCAGAGGGACAGAGACCCTAGAGGTGATATTGGTCGAAGGTCTGATACAGGATGTGATGTGGAAAAGGATATGTTTCATTATGTTTATTACAAACTTGGTAATAAAATACAGAACACTTCAAGTAGAGAAGATCAAGAAAATAAGTAAATAATCATGCACAATAAAACTACTTACATACATGTACGGTATTGTCTTACTGAACAGATTTAGCTGTCATTAGGTCAAAATTGCAAATAATAACATGCTTCTTATATCAGTATACAGGTAACTCTTGATGGCTTGAACTTCGATTTCTCGGAAGTTCTTGATCGCCTGAAGTGAGTCTCTTGTCCCGATTTTTTCCACTATATAACTAAGCAGATTTGCTCTTGATTTCTCGAACTCCTGATCTTTCGAAACCCTTGATCCCTCGAAGTCAAAATGCAGTCCCACTGTGCTGTGAATTTTACCCTTGATACCTCGAAGTGGCTGTGTGTACATACCAAGTTATAATGTTCAAACTTTTGCCATAACTGTATATCTGTCAGGGTTTAAACTTAACGCTCGCCCACTCGCAAATTGCGAGTTAAAATTGGTGTGGGCTCATAAAATTCGTAAGTTGCTCGCCCACGTGGCGAATAAAAATTCTGCAGGGGGCCGAATTCATTCCCAGTCCCCTTACTGAAAAACAGACATTTTATGCAGGTTTTTTATTTAAAACTACAGAAAAATGAAATAAATCACAGCAGTATGGTCCTATTGTTCGTAAATATCCTTCATCTTTTCCATTTAAAGTACTACACGATTTTTGAAATTCCCTAAAACGATCGTTTTTTTCCTAATCCGAATTTCCTCCAACCCTTTCTAAATGGTTGATACGTGAGAGATATACAATTTTATAAACTCCCAACTAATCAGTCATATGAATAGTAAGTGTTTTCACCTATTTCAGATATGTTTTAGTTAAAATATTTAACCTAGAAAATCTTATTGTGTCATTGTCAATTTATCAGTTGAAGACATGTACCAGGGCTATGTTTTTTATATACATGTATTACCAAGTAAAAAAAAAAACGATAGTAAAAATCTTTACTGAATACAATTCTATTTCCTTTGATTAAATATTTATATGATTTCTGATTTTTATAAAGTAAGAACTCCAATTTTAAACAGATGAATTTATATATGTATTTCATTTGTATCTACTTTTTGTCCCAGTATCTATATGCTTTTTAAAAAAATCACAGAGACTGTGGGCTAACAAATTTAGCAGTGGGCTCCTAAATTTGAAATGTCAGGAGCCCACATGACTCGTGGAAATTTCAGTTAAGTTTAAACCCTGTATCTGTGTGTCTGTCTGAGTGTCTGTTGTCAACTTAAACCTTCACCATAACTTTAGAACTATACTTCGAGATAGTGGCTTCATATTTACTTTAGTATGCATACTCTACTAATGAAGTGCTTTCAAATGGCAACAAGGACAATGATTATGTGTCAGTGATCTTGACTGTGACCTGTATGCTAAAAAAATTGCTTTTTCGAACTTTGTTGCTGTGTTTCACAAGCGCATCTTGTTTTGTTGGTCTCTGACCAGTAGAGCTTATGCGATAGTAAAGCGTCCGGCGTCCGTCCGTCTGTGCAAACACTACTCCTTAAATTTTAGTCTGATTTCAATATAACTTGGCACACAAGTAGACTATACTAAGATACATAATTCTGTGCATCAGTTTTTGATAAGTACAAACCAGTAGAGCTACAGTCTCGACAGAGACTTCTGGTTATTTTTTCTTCCATCCCGGTTGTTGCTAATGCTATTACATAATTAGTTTAAATTAGAATGCAATAGTACCTGGACATAATTTATCATTTCAGAGAGAAGAAAACTGTGTGACTTTAAAAGAAAACCAGTGAGATAAAATCATAGAAAATGTATGATGATTCAGGATGTGGTCATTTGGTAAGTGGTACTTCATTCATGATTCCTATGTATATGACAATTGCCTGAAAAAAAAGATTCTAAATTTTATTTAAATACTGAACTGTGGTATATCAGCTGTGAGCTACAAGAAGTTTTATGTAAAAGCTAGGGCTGAAACAATTTGCCCCCTCCATGTTATGTGTGTATTGCTATGATTGACATACAATCAGTTCTCTAATACATACACTTCAATAAAACGAGGCACATACCATATGTTCTAAATGAATAAAAAAGGCTCATTATGCACATATTTATATGAAATATTTTTTTCTCTCCAAGGAATAATTTCTGCAAGTCACTAAGTTTTTAGGGTTTCCTTTATTTTAAAGATATTCAATGAAATTATTTGAAGTATTAAATTTTGGTAAATTTTATGATACTAAAAGGTTATATGGATGAAAAAACAGCATGCGTGTATGACAATAGGGCTTAAATTTTTAATGTCTCTTAATTTTTGAGTGACATTAAAACAGGAATTGTCTTCACCAATAGACGAATTTCACATTCCTAAGAGTTTCCTCCAATTGTTGGCGTATCGCTCATTTTTCCCACTTTGTCCTTTGTAAGTTACTTGTTATCATACTGATTTTATTTCTAAGATATTGTCCCTCAAAGTTGATACTGTTAAAGACGGAAAACAGTGTCTTCAGCCGGTTGACCCCAGATCGACCCTGCGAAGGGGAATAACTTTTGTAAATGTGAAAATCCTTTATGGTATATCATATAGATCTAAAACTGACTGAATTCTGATCAGCCAATTTATGAACATGATGAATGGATGTAAATAATGTTGGACAATATATGTAAAAAAAAAAAAAATTAGATTGCTTGTTTATATATGTGGTATCTCTCCCATTGAAGTTTATAAACTTGTTATTTACATGTATTTCTTAAATAAACTGAGCCTACATGCAATACCGGTATAAAATTACTCATAAGATGCATGTATACTTAAACCATGATAAAATCATATGTGTCCAATGCAGCATATGATAAGTCATTAATATACAAGTACATGTGTTTCTATACTGTAATACATATATATTGCATTATTTTTAGGTCCTGTTCTGTGGATGCCCTAAGACAGTGTCTACCCATCACTCCATCTGATATCACTTGTTCTGAGCATATTTCTCTCTCAAACTTAAACTACAGAGAGCCTGTGGATAGTGGATGAAGAGTGACCTTGGACCAATTTTCTAGGTCAAAGGTCAGTATCAAAATCTACTGTATATCTTTATCTAAAATCGTAGTCCAGAGTATATTTCTCCCCTGCCTGGTGTAATCTAGCTTTTGTGCAATGGGGTGGACTCCGTGGAGGGTCTGCAATGATCTTCAACCAATTTCTAGGTCGAATATCAAAATAAAAAAAAATCTCTCCCAAATATTTTTGTTATTATAAAGAGTATGTTTTCTCTCAAACTAATCAAACTTAAAGCAGGGTTCTTAGTATGAGATACATGTAGTAATATATTCTCAATGACATAATAAGGCTGAAAACATTATTTATATTAGGCCTAAAATAAAATATTGTTTGTTTGCAGTTGCCGACCGACCCACTGAAAATGCACCCGACACAAACTCTTTTTTAGCCATTTTGTAATATTTTTTTTCTCTCCAATTTTTCAGGATATTAAAACTGTTTCATTTTCAATTATTTTCTTTATCAATCATACCAAGAGTGCAGCTTATTCATGTAAAGTAGGCCTATGAAAAACTTTATTTTATGTTATCTAACAAAGATCTGGAAATATTTTTTTTTCAAAAAAAAAAAATTCCCTACCTACCTACTCAGACTAAAAATTATAGGTCGGCAACTGCAAACAAAGAATTTTTTAAGCTTGGCCTTATGTTATTTTTTTTTTCACTTATCATAAAGCATTAAATATTAAAGAGATACATTAAATGCTGAAATCATATGTATCATGGTCATGGAAAGTAATTATTGATATTGGTATATTAAAGGACATTGACTGATCTTTCAGATTTCTAAGTTATATTCAAGCATTATAATTCTGACATCATATAATAATTTTGTGTGAATATTGCAGATCAAAGGTGATGTGAAGAAAACCAGGAAACTGATGTTGAAAGAAGTACTTAATGACCCTTATGAATGGACTTAAATGTGAAAGACTGTTCCATTGTTTATATAAGATATATGGATTTATTTAATATTTTGATATCATTGAAAAATTCAGTTACAGTTTTTGTACATCAAATGAATTATTAAACATATAAAATGGTAATGCTTTTTTCTTTTACATGTAATAAATTTTTTTGATAGATTTTTAAAAGAATACACATTATTTCACATTGCTTCCTTTAGAAAAGTTAGGGAATCTTGAAGTTTCCCAGTAATTCCACCAGGAATGGGACTCCAGATAATTCCACCAAGTTTCCGCCACACAGAAAGTGTTACACAAGTTCCATATAGTTTCCTGAGTCAAGGAAACTGCAGGAATCATAATGTTTCACGAGCTTCCATGTAGTTTCCCATAAAAGAAAACCTTAAGATTCCATCAAGTTTCCATTCCACGGAAACCACTACGCTCCGATTCCATATGGTTTCCTGAGTTGTGGAAACTTTAGGAATCGTGAGGTTTCCCGTGCTTCCATGTAGTTTCCCGTATAAGGAAACCCAAAGATTCCATCAAGTTTCCATTCCACGGAAACCACTACGCTCCGATTCCATATGGTTTCCTGAGTCGAGGAAACTTTAGGAATCGTGAGGTTTCCCGAGCTTCCATGTAGTTTCCCGTAAAAGGAAACCTAAAGGTTCCCCCAAGTTTCCATTCCACGGAAACCCCCTACGCTCCGATTCCATCAAGTTTCCTGATTCTGGAAACCAGTGGAATCTTCAGGTTTCCCATTATGGGAAACTACATGGATGTTCGGGAAACTTCAGGTTTTCAGAGGTTTCCGTGGTTCGGGATACCTTATGGAATCGGAGCGTAGGGGGTTTCCGTGTCACGGAAACTTGGCGGAATAACCTAGCATCCGCTACGGAAACCACTGGGAAACATGATGTAAACTTGAGGTTTCCATGTGGTTTCCATAAAGTTTCCCGTGATGGGAAACCACTTTTTTCACCCTGTGAACTTTTTAGTAATTGTAAATGGTCACAAAAAGTCGTATTTATATCTTCAAAGTTTATGAGTAAAGTAAATCATATTAATAGGATAATTTATCAATTCTCAAATGTTTTAATTTTTTTTTCTGTTAACTTCAGTTGTTGTAAACTACATGCTATCATTGCAAAACAATCGTATATAACTTCAAATTGCATATCATGTAAATAAGCATTGGTATCTTTTGCTAGATAAAAAGAATTTGTTTTCTGTAAAAATTTTATGCGTCTGCGGGATACAAAGATTAACCTTTTGCAATATCATTACCAAAACTTTAAAGAACCCATAATTGTATCGTAATGCAGAAAATTAAAATTCTTGCAAGGAAGTATTTCAATTTCAAGCTTAATTTTGAGTCTTCTAAAATTAAATATAAGATTTGAGATGTACATGTATCGTAAAGAAATCCTAAATTTTTGATAATAAATTGGATGATGTACAAAACACGTTTATAGGCCGCTTTCTATTGAAAACAAAAGTAGCTGGTATTTGTGGCTTGGTGGAAGAGAAATTCAATATTTAAAAGAATACAGCAAAAGTACTTAGAAAAATCAATAGCTTAATAAAATGAGATCTAGCAGCCTAAAATACCCTCAAATCTCTCTTTTTGTGCATTTCATCAATAAAAAGAACAAGAAAAGCAGCCATGATGAATATTTTGTTTACCATAGTAACAACGACCTATAGAACACATTTGAGACGAAACTTAGGACTTGCGACAACCTCCGGGTGGTCGTAGACTTACGACCGAATTTCGTCAAAACTTGCAAGTCTTAAATCATTGTAAAACGGTCTTATGTCGTACGTTCGGTCGTACGACCAAGTCTACGACTTACGACCTTTCGTAAAACGGGCCTCAGGTTACTTCTACGAGGGGTGATCTAAAAGTTCGAAAACTAATTGAATTACTTCCTTAAAAGAAATACAATTAGGTTTCACATTATTTTATTTTTTTAAGAAGTCACTTCTGGTTCTAGCCATGCGCGAAACACACGTGACATTATGCGTTCTGTTCGTAGCAGCTTAATGATTTTTTCGAGTCTCATATTTCTTACCAAGCAGGTAACTTTTATAACAAGAATTGTTCATTTGTCACAAATGGCCATATCTCAAAGATAGGAGAGGTGGATAAGGATATCTTTAATGAGCATGGTGACTATCACAACCCGACTCCTTTGTCTTGGAGGCGTCGTTTTTCGTAAATGTGAATCAAGTATGATTGCGTTCTCTCTATCGTATCTGATATGTTTAAATTCTGAATTAGCGATATTTTAGGGATATAATTTAATTATATTGTTAAGATATTCAACCATATCTCTAATTGTAATTTGGTGATCTTTCATAACAAATTAATGAACAAATGCCGCATATCTTATCCAACATACCGGGCGCCAGGACGAACATCATTTTTAAACATCTCCCTTCCTTGACTAAAACAATCAACCCAATTCATAATTGAACCTCTCGCAAGTCCTTTGTCATTATAAACCCTGTTCAAATTATTATATGCTAATGCAATGGAGTTTCCAGATTCACGTTAGACTTTACAGCCGTTCGTTTCAGAAGAATACACTGAGCCACCCCATTTTTCGTCACAAGTCACCTACATATAAACGTCACTTTCACATTGTGACGTCATAATTATGGATCAACACATTAGATTACATATTTTATTTATAAAACATGTTTATGACTATTTATGTGCAAAAGAATAAGAGCCACTTATGGCCTTTTTGGCCCTTAGAATTTCTGAAAAATCAAAACTTCAGTTTTGGTTTAAAATGCGGTATTCATCACTTGGACTATTGCTGACCATGTATCTTTTGAACATTCATTACTTTGACTCTTGGTGACCATGTATCTATTGAACATGACGTAGTTTTCCCTCTAGTCGATGAATTATGACGTCGTGAAATGCGTCATTTCCGAAAATCCTATAAATTCGTTTGGAATGCCCTTAAGTTGAAGCATTTTTCAATATTTCATATACAGCACAACCTTTGATTCAAAATATGCAATAAACTATTATATAGTGAAAGACCTATTTCTGCAGATTAAAAACATATTTTAATTATTGGATTGTGGGCAGTGCTTATATTTTAATTCTTTGCTGAAGGTAGTTGAATACGCATGTTTTCTGCAAAATACAAGAAATTGCATTTTCTCAAAGACTGTTTTTAATAACTTATATTCTCAAAAACAAATTTTATTACAGAAAATGTAAGCACTTAGTCTCTTCTTTATTTTGATATATGAAATGGGAAAGAGTGTGAAAGTTTAATAATTGATATTAGAACAGGGCCATTTTATGCATAAAGTGAACCTAGCTCTTCAATTTTGATCTGAATTGTAGTTTTGAAAATATAGAGATAGTTCGCGAACTTGATTTTTGATAACCCCTCGTAAAAGTAGGCGAAACTGCAATCTAGGAAATCGCAAATATTTTTGGGGGGTCATTACCCTCTCAATTCTAGTTTGTAAAAATGAAAACAATTTTCCCCGGGCCCAAAGAACTATGAATTGGGAAAAAAATCATTCATTGCTGATAAAATTATTTTTACTACAACTCGTTTTGATGAATTTTGAAAAGAAAACGCGCACACTGCATGTGGATTTCTGATTAAATATGAATCTGTATATTTTTATTCTTACAACACGAACTGCCATCGTTTATATAAATATATAAAAGTACATTTCCTATTTATATATAAGATCTCTCTTCTTTGACGGGAATAAAAAATAAGTTAAAGGTAGTACCGGTATCTGTATTTTAAAATTTTTACATTGTACTTTTGGTGTATGATTTGCAGTTTATTGCAGTGAAGGTCTTCATTACGATGGATTTCCAAATAATCAATCTCAACCAGGAAGGTATGTTGGCAGGTGGCGTAATATTCCTATCCATCAATCTCTAATTATGGAACGGATTTGAAAAATGTAAAATTATTTTTGAAGTGCATAAGACACATGCTTTTATCAGGTTTTAATTTCCAGCGAAATTCATTTACATCTATTATCAGACCTTCAAAATAACTCCCTTTTTAAAGGTTGTCCGAATCCCAAGTATTGTAAATCAGCTTTTCAATAATTAAAAGTGCTCACAAAAATGTCTCATAGATTTCATGGGGTAATGTGTATTAATCTTCAAAGTAAATCAGTAAAATTATTTATATATGGAATATTATCAATTTTCCAATGCAAATAAAGGGAGTGAGCATCCCTTTCCGATCGGTCACTCAGTTGCGTGCTTCTTGTCATATTCGGGAAAAACTGAAAAATACACGTGTGTAAATGATGGCCTCATAATCAGTCTTTAAAAAATTATTCAATATTTGATAAATTGTATTTGTTGACAATGTCATTGTATTACAAAATTAAAAAATTGAAACGGGAATGCTGATATTCTTGCTTCAACAAGGTGTTTGTAAATAAATTACCTCCTTTTAGAATATTTCGTCATTCCCAAATGATTAAATATTGGCTTTACATAAATTTGTTAAAATAAATATTAAACGAATAACTTAAAAATTAGAAAAGTTTAAACTAAGCAAGTAAAATTTAGTATGATACATTTTCTAAACGAAATAAGTGAAAAAATGTTGAGAGTTATTTTAGTATTTTTATATATTTTTTCAACTGACTAATAATTTTAATATGCCAATATTTGTACTTAATTTTTGAATTCCTGACATTACAGAATAATCCTAAATCAGAATGAATTGTATACATTAAAAATGATTTTAAAAAAAATCTTGTGAGGAGTTGAATTTCGTACATGGTGAGTTGTCGTTAAACCATTCGAGAAATTTAAATAATTCTTATTATTCCAAGTGATTAATTTTCATTTGAACTAATTGTGAGAAGTTCCTTAAAAGAGAACATGAAAACATAAAAAAATCATATCTCAGTTTATTTTGATCATTATGTAAATACGCTTTTACGTACTGAGTAACATTAAAGAACATGGAATCGTTTGTATATAATATTTTTTTGTCTACATACAACATGATCTGTGAATAGGTATGTAATAATTTGAAA